ATTAAGTTGCCAAGTCTGGACTCAAATATGCAAGACTCCTGCCTGAGCCTCTCACGTAGCTGGAATCAAAGGTGTGTGCTACCCTGCCCAGCTAGCTATAGTGTTTTGAGTTTTGTCTTTCTTGTTATTTTGTTTTTAGTGCTTGGCTTATGGTCTTTAGTATACCACTTTATTTTATCACAGTCTACTTTGAAGTTACATTAAACTATTTCACAACTAATATAAGAATCCACAACAGAGCCAGGCATAGTGGAGCAGATCTTTAATCTCTGCACTTAGGCTAGATGATACAGGAGTATCATAAATTGGAACCCAGTCTAGGCAGCTTAGCAAGACCCTGTCTCAAAATTAAAAAGTTTTTAAAAAGAGAGTGGAAGTGTAGCTCAGTGAAAAGACGCTGGCTCAATTTCCAGTGCTGCTTTAAAAAAAAGTCAGCAGTGTATTTCCATTCTGCAATGTCTTTTCTCCTGGCCTTTGTAGATGTCACATAGTGTATTTCTACATGTTATAAACTCCACATTACATTTTGTTATTTTGGTTTTAATAGTCAGTTGTCTTTTAAAGAAATTGTAAAAATAATTTGAAAAGCTCTTTTATGTTCACTCACATATTTGCCATTCCCAATGCTTTTCGTTTTTGGTGTATATTCGGGTTTCCATCTGATAATATTGTCCTTCTACAACGAAGCTTCCTTTCACATTCTCATACTGTGCTCATATGAATTCTTTCAGCTTTCGTGTGTTGGAATTTTCTTTCTTTGTTCTTTGTTTAAAAACTTTTCCTGAGTATAGAATTCTAGGTTGACAATTTTCTTTCTTCAATATTTTATAGGTATTGTTTTGCTCTCTTTGGACTTGCATCTCTTTCTAGCAAGAAAGCTATTGTCATTGTTGTCTTTATATTCTGTACTGTTATATTTTTTCCTCTGGATTTTCAAGTTAAGAATTTCTCCTATCAGTAGTTCTAAGCAACTTGATTATGCTACACTGCTTTCACTTGTGTTTCTTGGGCTTGAGGCTCCTTGAACTTCTTGGACCTCTTTATTTATTATTTTCATCAGTTTGGAACATTTTATAGATTAGTCTTTCAAATTTTACCTCTGCCTGTGCTGGGTGTGGTGGCTCATGCCTATAATCCCAGCACTTGGGAGGCTGAGGCAGGAAGATTGCAGTGAGTTTGAGGCCAGCCTTAGCTACCTAGTGAGTTCAAGGCCAGCCAGAACTACATAGTGAGACCCTGTATCCCCCTCAAAAAATCAAATCAAATATTTCCTCTGCCCGCCCCTCACTCCTTCTGGGACTCCAAGTCCCCATCTTTGGAACCTGAAATCCCCATGTCACTGATGTTCATCTCCCACCTCACCCTAGCACAGGGGAATGAGCCCAAGCCCTTTGTGCTGAGGTACATTCCCAGCTCATTATTTTAATATTTTATTTTGAGACAGAGTGTCACAAAGTTGCCCAGGTCGGGCTCAAACTTGCAATCTTCTGTCTCAGCCTCCCAGGTGTATACATTTATATCCTGCTCACTCTATATTTTTCAGTGTTCCATTTCTCTCTGTGTGTTCCACTTTGTACACTTTCCATGCCTTCAAGTTTCCCGGTCTTTTTTTTTGAGACTGAATCTCACTATGTAGTGCAGGCTGGCACTGAACTCACTATGTAGCTCAGGTTGGCCTCTAACTCACAGTGAGCCTCCTGCCTCAGCCTTCTATGTGCTGGGATTACAGGTGTTACCACACCCAGCTAACAGATATCTTTTCACGGATAAGTGGGCACTTGGTCTCTGAGAATCTTCTCCTAAGACAACTCTCTTTAGTTCGCCAGCTCCTCCATTCACCTTGTGCGGCCTTGTGCTGATGGCTTTTCCAGCTCCTCCACAATGGCCTAAGTGACAAATGTCACCGCAGTACCTGGTGCTTGGATCCCACCCAGTCTGAGTGTCCCCTTGCTCAGAAGAGCTCCTCAGATTCACTTCAGTTGTTTCAAAATTCAGCCCTCCCCAAAGAGCTCCTACAGATGCTCAGACTCCTCAGCAGTCTCAGACTTCGACGTGACAGCAGTGGGAAGAGACTAACGGTGCTTTCTCGGGCGTGTCTGTGGGCAGAAAGGGGTAAGCTAACAAATCTAAGCATTTTGATGTCACGTCTAAGCTGCTATTAATCCTGTCATGGACTGAACTGTGGCCCCAAAATTCAGATGTTGAAGCTCTAAGCCACCAATCTTACTGGATTTGAAAGAAGCCATTAAAGTTAAATGAGAATACAAGGATAAGGTCCTGCTCCAAAAGTTCTGATGATCTTATAAGATCATCAGTTGTGTGTTGTGTGTGTGTGTGTGTGTGCGTGTGTGTGTGTGTAGATGTTATACCAGGGAATTGAACCCAGGGCTACTCTACCACTGAGCTATATCTCCAGACCTTTTTAAATTTTATTTTGAAATCAGGTCTCACTCAGTTGCCCAGACTGGTCTCGAAGTTGAGATTTGCTTGCCTCAGCCTTCCAAGTGGCTGGGATTATAGGCATGTGCCACCAAACCTAGCTTATATCCTTTATATTTTTTATTGGATTGCAGATATTGTGAATTTTACATTCTTGGGTGCTGAACTTTTTGGTAGTCTTTAAGTATTGCTATACTTATCCTAGGATGCTGTTAAATTACTTGGAGACAGATTGGTCATTTCACAGATTGATTGTTAGTTTTCGGTGAAGTGAGAGCAGTCTTATTTTAGAGTCACATTGGCTTCATTCCTGAGGCAAACTTTCTCACTACTCCATCCCAGCCCTGGATTATACAAGGGTGTTCCGTTTTGATTATTGGGAATATGAACTATTTGCAATTCTGGATAATTTCTGGGAATTACCCTGCCTGCTTCTATCCAATAGTTTTTTCAGCAATCTGTGATAGTTTTACACACCTATGTGCTAATCAGAACGCAAGTGGACTAAGGGGAAACCCTCTGTAGATCTCCTTAGCTCTCTCCTTTCCAACACTTGCCCTGTGGATTCTAACTGCCTGGATCTCTTCAAATCCCCATTGTAGCTTCTCAACCCAAGGACACCCTGGGCACTGCATGGGTTCCTCCTCACTGTGCTGAGGCCCAGACAATACCTGCTGCTACACAGCTGGGTAATAGTTTAACTTCTCCAAAGGACCAAACACTTTTCTGCTTTTCCTGTTAAGCACTTAAGAAAGTCATTGCTGCTTCTCTTTGCTCTGTGCTTTCAGTTGTTTAAGGAGGGCAGGTGAATCTGGCCCCGTTACACTTCTGTCTTCAGAAGTTTGTGTCCCTAAAAGCATTGGGATACTTGATCTTTCCAGCTGAATCAGGCCAAACAGCATACTCTTCTTAATGTAGTCAACTAGCATGATGATTGTGAGATGTCAAGACTAACAAAACTTCCTTGGATTATGTTATAGAATGTCCGAGAGAAAGAAAGCTAATGAGCAAATCTGTACCATAGACTCTTCTACATCAAAGCCAACAACAGACAGTGATCCTTGTAAACTAGTATAGATTGGGGGGAATGTCCTATGTAAGATCAATGGGTACATAAAAGCTACATTTTGATGTTTTCCTAGGGAAATATACCACATCTGGAAGCATAACTGTAATTGGAGTCATATCTGATAATTTTATAACCCCTTGTCATTTTCAAAGGCCTACAAATTAACAAGTGAGTTAAGGATATAATAGCAGTTACAATCTGGCACGCAGCAAGCTTGTAAGTGAGAATTAACAAATACAAAAAAGTTACTATTAGGGCCAGGGATTTAGCTCAGTGGTTCCACCGCCTGCCTCATAAGCGCAAGGACCTGAGTTCAATCCCCGGTACCAAAAAAGAAAAAAGTTACTGTTGTCTGGCCACATTTTCTTATCATAATGAGATGAAAGTAGAAATCACAGCTGGGGATGTAGCTTAGTGGTAGAGTACAAGGCTAGCCTGTGTGAGGCCCTGTACCATCCCCAGTACCACATCTACAAAAGAAAGAAGGATTCAAAGAATGAAAGGAGGGAAGGATAGAGGAAGGAGAAGGAAAGAAAAGGAGAAAAGGAGAATCCAACAATTAAAAGCAAGATTCAAATGCACACACTCAGGAAACTTAAAACATATTTCTCCCTGTGTACCTATGTGGAATGAGCCCCAAGACACACAGCTGAAATAAATAACTGTAGGTATTGAATATTGTTTGTTATATGTCATTTGCGTAAAAGGAGGAGACGTATGTGTACATTTCCATATGTGTATTTTAAAACTATTTGGAAATTAATATGAAAAATTCAACCATGGACACTAATATTAAGAAACATACAGGGGCCGGGGATTTAGCTCAGTGGTGCTGCCGCCTGCCCTGAAAGCGCAAGGACCCGAGTTTGATCTCCGGTACCAAAGAAAAAAAAAGAAAAAGAAACATATAAGGCCATGTAGATAGGATTAAGAGTATGAGTGAAATTTTCACTGGCATCATTTCATATTTTTTCATTTGTGAATGCTAGGAATATATTCACTACTCAAAAATTGGGTTCTGAAAATTATTTGTAAAACATCCTTTCTAATAGTTTAAGAGGCAAAGAAGGAAACATAATGGGGAGTTAGACTATATTTAGGAACTGAATGATAATAATATTCTTACATTTTGAAATTTGTAAGAAGACACTCAAATAGTGCCAAGAGGAACATTAATAGTCTTGAGTGTTTATAGTACAGCAAAAGATAGATTGAAGTTATAGAGGTAAGAATTCCCTTATTAGGTTAGAAATCTAATAATAGAGCAAATTTGAGGAAAACATTTTAACCAAATTCTATTCCTGTCTATGGGATGGGGAATTTATTTAAACAAATCCTCTGATGGAAGCAATTAAAATTCTGAATAACAATTTTTTAAAACCTCTTATAAAAAGCATCGATGGGCTGTGTCTTAGTCCATCTTGTCACTGTAGGTAAATACTACTGAGTAAACACTACTGGGCAATCTCTGAATACTCGAGGTTTAGCTCACAGTTCTGGAGGCCGGGAAGTCCAACAGCAGGTGCCAGCATCCTAACATGGAGGAACGCATCACATGGTGGGACAGAGCAAGTATGTGAGCTCCAGTCCTTTTCCCTCTTATAAAGCCACCGCAGCCCGGTGTGGAGGTGCATGCTGGTAGTCCAGCGCTTGGGAGGCTGAGGAAGAAGGATTGAAAGTTTGAGGCCAGTCTGGGCTACACAGCAAGACCCTGTCTTTAAAAAAACTAAATAAATAAATGCCACCAGTCCCATCCTAATGGCCCCACCTCCTATACCGTGAACATATGAATTTAAGAATTAAGTTTCAATGAGAGTTTTGGAGAGGACATTCAAACCATGGCAAATTGACAAAAATAAATCTCCAAATTATCATGAGTTGCAAGCAGGAATTCTGGAGGTTATATATGCTACTTTCATTTTGAGGTTTTCTGACCAACCCTGAGCCTTTGATCCCCACTTTGATAAACCCATTAATTACAGGATTCAGGAGATAAATGGAGAAACCCTCTCAACTGGAAAATTTAATAGGAGATTGCTCCTTACAGTCAGGACTCAAATGAGGATACCCCAGTATAAAAGCAAACAAAAATCAACTGTTGTAGAAAATCAGGTGACAAGGAAACATACTTAACTTGATATCAATACTAGAAAGAAAAAAATGCAAAACCTCCAAATTTTGGATTTATCAGTCACAGAATATAAAATGAATGTGTTGGGATGGCAATATAGCTCATTGTTGGAGCATGTACTTAGCATATGCAAGATTCTAGGTTCAATCCCCAGCACCACAAAAAATAAAAATAATTTTCTTTTTTTGGTACCGGGTATCAAACTAGGGACCTTGCGCTTTTGAGTCAGGCAGCAGAACCACTGAGCTAAATCCCCAGCCAATAAAAATAAATGAAAAAATGAAATAAATATACTTAATGTGTTTCAAGAATCAAAAGTAGGAAAAAGAAACCATGAGCAGGAAATATGAAATTATAGGGAATAAGTAATTAGAGTTTAAAAACAAAGTAGAACTCCTATAAGTAAAAATCCATGATTTAAAAAAATAGTTCAGGGCTGGGGATGTAGCTCAGTAGCACTGCACCTGCCTACAAGCACAAGGTCCTGAGTTGGATCCCCAGTACAAAAATAAATAAATAAATAAAAATTACAAAGCAGTCCATAGAGTGACTAAACAGTAAATTAGACACAGCTAAAAAGAGGACAAACGCACTGAAAAATAGATCCAAAGAGTATCTGGAATGCATTCCATGGAGTCCAAGATGGAAAATATGAACAAAAGCTTAACAGACAAGGAAGACAGAATGGAAAAACCTAACGTATTTCAGTGGAGATTTAAACATAAAATAGTTGACATGTCCCAGGTTTGATGAGAGTTATCAATTCTCAGGTCCAGAAACAAAATTCAGGGAAAGGAGAAGAATCCACTAGAGACATATTATAAAGATGAAATGGACAGTGCATTAGGATATATTTGACTTCATGTGGGAAAGACAATACTCTATTAGCAGTTGTTTGAGCAGTAAGATATTTAGTTAAAATATAGAATGGAATTTGAGCAGACAAATGTAATGCTGTCTACATAGGCTGGCATTAATTTTTTTTCAAAAGGATTTTTTTTTGGAACCGGGGAACAAACTTTGCACTTGTGAGGCAGGTGGCAGAACCACTGAGCTAACTCCCTGGCCCCTTTCATAAGCATTTTTTTTTTAAAGTAAAACATTTACAGAGAAAAGAGTACAAATCAAGTGCACAGCTCAACATATTTTCACAAAGTAAACACATCTCAGTGAAGCACCCAAATCAAAATAAATAGTGTTGCCATTGGAGTTGGGGGGTGAGTAGCTCAGTTGTAGGGTATGTGCCTTCTAGGCTCAAAGATGCACCAAAACCCCCTCACAAAATAATATTACTATAAAGCAAAAGCCTCCTTGTAACAGTAATAATTTAAAATTTAATCCTCACAATTGTTTTGTAGCCAGGTGTGGTAACACACACCTGTAATCCCAGCACTTGGGAGGTTGAGGCAGGAGGATTACCGAGAGTTTCAGGCCAGCCTGGGGGGCTACACAGTGAGTTCAAGGGCAGTCTGAACTACATAGCAAGACTCTGTCTCAAACACACACACACACACACACACACACACACACACACACAGAGTGCTATGTAGCTTGCATGGATTTAGCTGGTGTGTAATTTAAAAGTCAGAAAAACATTTTCAGCCCACTAATTCCTAAAAGAACTACATATGAAGTAGTTATTTTTTCTTCATTTAATTCTTTTTTTTTTTTTTAGTACTGGAGATTGAGCCCAAGGGCTTCACAATGAGCTAGCTGTACTTCCAGACCTTTTTCATTCTGAGACAAGATCTTGCTAAGTTGTTCAGGCTGGACTTGAACTCTCTGTCCTCCTGCCTCAGCCTCTCAGAGTGCTGGAATTACAGATGTGTGTCACCATTCCCTGAATTTGGTTTTTTTTGTTTGTTTTGTCTTTTTGGGGTTTTTGGTACTGGGAATTGAACTTGGGTCCTTGCGGTTTCAAGGCAGGTGGTGAAACCACTGAGCTAAATCCCTGGCCCTCATGTTTCAATTCTTGCTTTGGCTTTGATCACTTACTAAGTCCTTTAGATCTACCAGTGTCTGCTGAAGTTTCCATGAAGCCTACATGTGTGGAGTGAGACCAGGGCATAGTTGAAGAGTCAGTGTACAGCAGGGGTGTGGCCCCGAGGCTGCCCAAGGCCCATGAAGTGGCTCTGCTCAAAGGTGTACTGATAGGGACCAGATCTTTTCTTAGGGCCCATGTGTGCAGCTTTGCCTTTGTGGAAGTACAAGCTGCAATGTTGTGACATAAACTGTAGTCCTCTGCCATGGTCAAAATATGATGTGGCTTAAAACTTAAAGGCTCTTGGCTGAGTGTGGTGGCACATGCCTGTAATCCTAGCACTCTGGAAGGCTGAGGCAGGAGGATCCTAAATTTGAGCCCAGCCTTTGCAACTTAGCAAGAGCTTGTATTAAAATAAAAAATAAAAAGGGGCTTGGTATGTAGTTCGGTGTGAAGGCCCTGGGTTGTATCCCCAGGACTGTAAAAAACAAAAACAAAACAAAACAAAAACATAAAAACTTAAAAGGCTTTTACAGAAGTCAAAAACTGTCTACATAACTGTAAAAGCCCTCCTGGCTTAATGTGACTTCTTTGAAATGCCAAAGTCAAAACCTGCTAAGTACACTCTAAAGTCTAAAGCTCAACAAAATCCTCTGTGTGTACATTTTTCCATCTAAAATTTTACTCCTGACTTATGGATCAATGTTCCCAGCCTAACATTTCAGAGGTTGGTGTTTTTGAGGTTACATTTCCAAAAGACTGGCCCCTTCCTACAGAGGTAATGCTCGTTCTTGTGTATCTTACAGTAGGGAAGAGAGCCATCAGGAGACTGTACCTCCAGTAGGCAAATGTCTCCCCAGAGGAAGAGACTGTTCCTCAGGCCCACTTGCTGACACTCATCACTCCCTTCCCAGTGCAGCTAAGAATGAGAAAGCAGGGAGAGGCCGGCCAAAGGACGTCCCGAAGTTCTCCCCGCATTGAAGAAAACACCAATGGACAGAAAGGGGAACTTTCTTCACACCCTTTGGTTCATAGAATCTGAAAACTCTACCCTGGAAGTTAGCAGAAGAGCTTATCTTATACCAAAATGGCTCTAGAGTGTGGGGAGCAGATGAAAGGGACAGGGTTAGAAGGAATGCACACAGTGGGTCAGAGTTGGAGCTCCAAGGCGCTCAGAGAGTTAAAAAACCAGCCGTGATGGAGCCAAGGAAATCCCACACCTCCTAATTTGCTTGATAATAAGTAAGACTTTATCAGGATGGAAGGGGCCATGTTTTCTACAAAAATGGAGCAAAAAATCATAAAGAGGGAATCAGGGACATTAAATGACAGCAGGAGGAAATATAATGAAAAAACTATTAAGACCACTATGTCAGGGATCACTATGTTGAAGAAAAGTTAATAAATACACCATGAAGACTTTTTAGATTACAAAAATGAAGAAAAATGCTAAGTACCTAAATAGGTTAGTTACAAAGGAAAACAATTGATTTTAAATTTTGCTGTAATACTAAATGTAAGAAGCCAATGAAACAAAAAATACAGATTTTTAAAGGAAATTACGATTTTGTTTTCTGCGGCATAAGTCTGCGAAGGACATGGACCAAAACCTGATGCTCTCCAAGTAGAGTCCATAGAACCCTCAGGGTCTTTGGAGTCTTTTCAGGGATTCTGAAAGGTCAGAGATATTTTCACAGTACTAAGACATTTTTGGTCTTTTTCACTGAGTTCATATTTACACTTTGATAAAAAAGCAGTAGTGAGTAAAATTGTTGGCAGCCTAGTCCAAATCTGTGCCATGGCACTAGCTATGCTGTAGTGATTATATCCTTTGGACCATACACTCACAGGAAAAAAGAGTGTCCTGGATGAAACTGTAAAAAATACTCATTAAAAACAAATACTCATTAGATCTTGAATCTTTACTCACATCTTTGTAACATTTTATGGAAAAAATAAGAATTATACATGAAGCATTTCTGCTGTCTACTGGAGTAGATGGTTATCTCAAGGAACTTCATTTGCGTGATTTCCTGCTATGCAAAATCTACCGGCTATCTTCATGTAGCACCTCTTTTACTGAAAAAAAAGAAAATGATCCTGTTTCTTTTTTTTTTTTTTTTAGTTTTTTTATTGGTACATTTTACATATACACAATGATAACTTTCATCATAGAGAATTTGTACCTGTACGTGATATAGCTTGCTTCTTTTTTCCCATTCCCCTCCCCTCTCTTCAACCCCTCTTCCTCTTTTTATTTACAAAAGCTTTGTTTCCATATTTTCATTTTTTTTTTTTGGTACCCAAGATCGAACTCAGGACCTTGCACTTGCATGGCAGATGCCAGAACCACTGAGCTAAATCCCCGGTCTTCCATATTTTCCTTGTATTCTTTTTTTTCATGACCCTCCCTTCCTTTCCCCCTTCCCCCTCCCTTGTTCCCCTTCTAATTTGAACATTTTCTTCTCATTTCCCAATATCTATTATACATTTTGGTCTTTATTTACACTTTCTGTTTCTCACACCAGAGAAACAATGCGGTATTTAAATGTATGTCCGATTTATTTCACTTAAGAGTATGGTCTCAAGTTGCATCTATTTAGCTAGACATGTCTCAAGCTTATCCTTCTTTATGGCACAGTAGTA